CAGACATCAGACTACTCTAAATGCTCTTTTTAGACAGGTTTTTTTTTGCACTGTTGACTTAATGCGAGTGCATAAAGCCCTGTCTGCCTGCTGTTTGTATCCTTTGCTTGCAAGGGGGAGCCAATCAGAAAAAGTTTCCTACTATGGATGAAGGTGAGAGTGTGAACCAGAGTGAACGGGTCCCTTTAAATGTCTGGGGACAGCGAACTTTAAAGAACTGTTGACCAAATCAGTAGAGTTTCAGATCCATGTAAATGGTCTATGTTAGTTTTTCTTTAAAGTAAGGCCCAGCAAACGTTTGAGTTAAACAATAGTGAGAGGTCAGCCCCACGTAAAACATCTATTTGCTCAGAGATGGACGCTGCCAAAAAGACTGAGCAGTTAACACCCACTATTAAAGTGCCTCACCTTAAGCTTCTCAGTCGAGTGATTCACGACGCTCTTTAGGATTGAAGCGTTCTGGCTCTTTTCATATGTTATGAATCCATTTTCGTTTATGTGACCGTTATAAAAATGTGTCTTGGGAATGAAAAGAACCATTACATGCACCCTACAAACTGAGAAGTCTCACATATAGTGAATTCAAGGGACGGGATTCAAATGGCAGCTTTATCTCAGGTCTCAGATGTACCTGTTTGCATAATACAGGGTAACGGCTTTGGTCCAATTAAATAGCTTTATGTTGCATTACACAGAAATCTGCTACACATACACGTGCATCTGTGACTAGCTCAAAGCCTATTAATCAATATTTAAAAAGATCTGGCCTGTCATTGTGCCGTGGTACAACATTTTCCACTGCTGTGTCCTTGCTGTGACTTCATTCATCTCTATAGTTTTCTCTTTTGATCACAGGTCTGTGCTTGTGAGTGTTTTTCTAACCAACTTGAGGGGAGTTTAGCACTTAATATCGTCTGTGCAGACTATATTCATGCTTTTGCAATAACTAAGGCCAGTTCTTATCTTGATTAAAACAATAACCTTGTTTTGACTTAATGGCTAAAGCGATGACATTGGGAGTTTGTAGATGTATTATGAGGGTAACCAGGCAGAGGGTTATGCATTGTTCTAATCCCCTCAGGCCTTGGATAAACACCGAGCACTGTTATTTTAGTCTTAAGGGCACAAATGTGAACGTGTGAATGGGCACATTAGCAAAGACTGCAAACACAGTGAAGCTCGTGCACACGTCGGTGTACGGCGTGCAGAAAGCTGTTGTATTAATGCACCGTGTGAAAAGATTGACTGATGTTCATGCAGTTTCTTCACTTAAGGTCTCATTAATAATCTTTGCTCTTTGCTGCCTCCTTCCTCATTCCTCACTCTCACCTTTTGTTTGTCTTTCTTGCTGCACTTTGACCTTTCTGTCTCTCCCACCAATTATTGTGCCTCATCTTTACCTTTCTTTCCATCCCTGTTCTTTTTTATTTTCTTTGTCTCTCTATATCTCTTTACCCCCTTTTCCACTTTTTTTTTTACCCCCACTGACTTCCTAAATATTTCACGGCTTCTCTTTCCACCCCATATCCCTCTTTTCCTTAACCTGAACCACCCTTTTTCTCATTCTTCCACTCCGTCTCTCTCACCTTCTACTTTTATGGCCCCATTTGTGACCCATCATTTCCCTTCATTTTCCCCTTTCCTTTGTCCATTGTTCCTCACCTCGTCTTCACTCTCGTCTCCTTTCTCCCTTCTCTGCGGTCCACAGACGTATTTACCCCCCAGACGACAAGCTGCTGTTGGAAAAGTATGAAAGCCTGCTCTCGGCCGCCTTTCAGACCTTCCTCGCCGGGCGAGCTGCCTCACTTCAAAAGGAAATGAATAATCCTCTGAAACGAATGAAGGCACGTACGTCAGTGGCAGACTGTCACGGACTCACACACGCACAAACACGCACACAAACATATTCAGACACTTGTGGACAAGCAAACGTAAAAGAAAAGAAGCACACACACATTTCTATTAAGATTCTGCCCATAGAGACAAAAAGGATGCACAAATAGCACAAAAGTGTGCCGCAGCCCTTGGTATTTGTTAGAACACCTGAAAATACGTCCTTCTTCTCCTCTCTACCTTTCCACTGTCATTCACCCTTTTCACAAATATTCATTATGTTGTGCACATGAGCTTTTAAAAGCAAACAACAATGTCACTTTTATTACTTTATTTACTTTACAGTTACACCCTGTTTTCCTACTTTTCTTCCTTTCTGCAAAGGTTAACCAAGTTGCTGGCCACACATTTCAATGCATTTTTATGCAGTTTAATTACGTATTTTATCGCACTTACACACATATATATGTAGTAGGGGTGCAATGATACACAAAATTCACGGTTCGGTTCGATACTTTGGTGTCAGGGTTCGATATTTTTTTGATACAAAAAAAATGTTCATGCTTTTTTAATTTGTCATTTATTAAAATTATAAATATATATTTTAACTCAAAAGTACAGTTTTTAAATTTAATGTTGCTGAAACAACAAAGTA